CAATTATAGTTAAAAGTTTTAATAGAAAAAGTTTTTAATTAAAAATACAATTTAAACGAAAAATTATTAAAAATACATTTAATTAATAAAATAATTTATAGTTATTTTTTAATAATTTTAAAAAAAATTTTGAATTTTTTTCTTTGATGATTTGATGCAACAAATTAAAAGATTTTTTTTTAGTTTATAATTAAACAAATTGAATAACTTAGAGTTTTGTTTTATTTTAGCTAAACATTTAGTTTAATAATTAAAGATTGCTTGTTTATAATTAAAAAAAAAAAACGTTAAATGCTTTTTTTTAATGGGTTTAAATAGTTAATAAAAAGTGAAAAAATTGTTTTTTTAAGTAATTTATAATTAAAAAAACTTGTATAAAATTCTTTTATTATAAAGAAAAGAATAAACAAAAAGAACTAGATAAAAGGTTTTTAACTAAAGTCAAACTTTATTTTAATATTTTAGCACTATAGAAAAAATTAATTGTTTTTATTTATTTAAAAAACAAACAAACAAACAAACAAACATACACAAAAAAGAACGCACACAACATAAATAAATGTAATTTTATTAAAATACTTTCTATACGAGTGTTTTTTTATTTATTTTTTATTTTATTATTTATTTTTAAGTGTCTAAAATTAAGCAGTGAGCGATTTTCTTTTATAAAATATTTATATGAAAAAGTGAGTTTTTGAAGCAGTTGTTGTTTTTTTATACAAATTTTATGTTTTTTTATTAATTATTATGATTTTTCTGTTTTGTTTAAATTAGGATTTTTGTTATAAATTTAATTTGTTAACAGAGTTTTTAAAATGTTTAAAAGAAAAAAATTTATTTTTAACTAATTTTAATACTGTTGTTTTAGGAAAAAAATCTTTAAAAACAGTTTGTGGGGGAACTTTTCAACAAATACATAAATATGTTGGTTAAAGACAGATGAATTGATATTTTCTTTAGATTAGAACTTCAGTTATTTTTTTTTTTTTTTTTTCTAATAACTTCTAAAGTGAGAAATGTCTATTGAACTGAGATTTTCGACCGTAAATTTCAAACACAACAAAAGTTCTTGTTGAAGTTTTTATTTTTCAGTTTTAAACTTGTTTCTAGGTTTCTAATAAGAAAACAATCTTTGATTGAACCCTACCAGACCTTTTGAAAAGAGAACTTGTTTAATCTAATAACACTTTCTGAAAAATGTTTCGATAATTTATTTAAAAAAAAAAAAACTTTTGAAAATTTTTCTGTTTTAAAGAAAATTGTTTCCTTTTCATATATAAATTTTCGGAATTCTTTCTTTTTTTAAGAAAATTATTAAAAATTTGTCTTTTTTATAGAAAATTTTAGAAATTTTATTTATTTTAAACTTATCTTTATATAAACTTTTTAAAAATATTTATAGAATTTTTAAAAATTTTTCTTTTTATAAAAATGTTCCAATATATTTTTCTTTTATAGAAAATTTTCGAAATATTTCTCTTTTTATAGAAAATTTTGGTAAATTTTCTCTTTTTTTTACAAAATTTTCGGAAAATTTCTATTTTTATAGAAAATTTTTCGGAAAATTTCTCTTTTTATAGAAATTTATTTATTTATTTTTATAGAATTTTCAAAAATTGTTCCCTTTTTATAGAAAAATTTCTCTTTTTGTAGAAAATTTTCTCTTTATTATTACAAAATTTTTGGAAAATTTCTATTTTTATAGAATATTTTCTCTTTATTTTTAAAATTTTTTTCGGAAAATTTCTCATTTTATTTTTCTATAAAAAACTTTTCGGAAAATTTCTCTTTTTATAGAAAACTTTTCGGAAAATTTATCTTTTTATAGAAAACTTTTCGGAAAATTTCTCTTTTTATAGAAAAATTTTGAAAAAATTTCATATTTTTTGGAAATTTTCGAAAAAAATTTCACGTTTTAAAGAAAATTTTCGAAAAAATTTCACTTTTTAAAGAAAATTTTCGAAAAATTTTCTCTTTTTATAGAAAATTTTTCGGAAAATTTCTCTTTATATAGATAATTTTTCGGAAATTTTCTCTTTTTATAGAACATTTTTCGGAAAAATTCTCTATTTATAGAAAATTTCTCTGTTTATAGAGTTTTTTGGAAAATTTCTCTTTTTATACAAAGTTTTTCGGAAAATTTCCCTTTTTATAGAAAGTTTATCGGAAAATATCTCTTTTTATAGAAAATTTTTTTGGAAAATTTCTCTTTTTATAGAAAGTTTTTCGGAAAATTTCTCTTTTATAGAAATTTTTCGGAAAATTTCTCTTTCGGAAAATATAGTTAATTTTTAGGAAAATTTCTCTTTTTATAGAAAGTTTTTCAGAAAATATCTCTTTTTATAGAAAATTTTTTCGGAAAAATTCTCTTTTTATAGAAAGTTTTTAAAAAAACTTCTCTTTTATAGAAAATTAAAAAAAAAAAATCTCTTTTTATAGAAAATTTTCGAAAAATTTCTCTTTTTATAGAAAATTTTAAAAAATTGTTTCCTTTTTATAGAAAATTTTCTGTTTTTATAGAAAATTTTTAGGAAATTTTCTCTTTTTATAGAACATTTTTCGGAAAAATTCTCTATTTATAGAAAATTTCTCTTTTTAAAGAAAGTTTTTTTTGGAAAATTTCTCTTTTTATAGAAAATTTTCGGAAAATTTCCCTTTTTATAGAAAGTTTATCGGAAAATATCTCTTTTTATAGAAATTTTTTTCGGAAAATTTCTCTTTTTATAGAAAGTTTTTCGGAAAATTTCTCTTTTTATAGAAAATTTTCGGAAAATTTCTCTTTCGGAAAATATAGTTAATTTTTAGGAAAATTTCTCTTTTTATAGAATATTTTCAAAAATTTTTCCCTTTTTCTCTTTTTATAGAAAGTTTATCGGAAAATATCTCTTTTTATAGACATTTTTTTCGGAAAATTTCTCTTTTTATAAAAAGTTTTTCGGAAAATTTCTCTTTTTATAAAAAGTTTTTCGGAAAATATAGAAAACTTTTCGGAAAATATAGTTAATTTTTCGGAAAATCTCTCTTTTTATAGAAATTTTTCAAAAATTTTCCCTTTTAATAGAAAATTTTCGAAAAATTTCTCTTTTTTATAGACAATTTTCCGAAAATTTTCTCTTTTTATAGAAAATTTTTCGGAAATATTCTCTATTTATAAATTCTCTATTTATAAAGTTTTTACAAAATTTCTCTTTTCACTTTTTGAAGAAAATTTTTCAAAGTTCAAATTCATAAAAATAAATCTGTTAATAGTGGCTTATTAGCCTTGTAAAAAGATTAAAAACATTTAAAAACTCAAATTTTCCATTAATTACAATTCAAAATCCTGTTAACAATTTAAATTATGTCTTTAAAATGTTGTTGTTGTTTTTTGTTGTCTATATTATTAATTATTATTCTTATTAATTGCTGTTGATTGATTTCAATTGTGTTTTTTTCTTTTTTCAAGTGTTCATAAAATTGTTTTTCTTTTTAAATTATTGCATATTTTTTTAAATATTTTTTTATAAACTAATTAATACACCATTGTTTGTTTTGTTGTTGTTTTCTTTTTTTATTATTATTATTATTATTTTATATATATAGTTTTATAAACCTGGTTTTAATTCTGGGGTATAATAGATACTTTTGTTTTACTTTTACTCAAAACTTATTAATTGTTTTTCAACATAATGAGCTTGTTAATAATTTGAATGCTTTGTTTTGTTTCACTTTCATTTTTAAATATATTGCAAAATCTAATATATTTTTTGTTTTTTTTTTTCAAGTTAAATAGAATATGTTTTCATATGTTTTTGCTTTTTCATTTCAAGTTAATATGAATATAAATTGTTTGTTTTTATTTCTGATTTTTCTTCAATCTTAAACTAAGCAAGTTTTTTTTTTAATTTCTAAAAAAAAAAATTATAATAATAATTGATATAAAATAATTAAATGATTTGAAATTTTCATAAATCATTATCATCAAATTGCGTTTATGTTTTTTTTCTCGTTTATATATGCAGGGTTACAAAAAATAATGAAAAAGAAATAATTTAATATTTTTTTGTTATAAAAAAAACAAAATTTTCTGTCTCTCCTTTAGTATGCCTCTCGATCCATAGATAACTGTAGCAGTAATTTTTATGTGTAATTGTTTTTATTGGGAGACTTTTTTCTAGCTTTTCAAAATCTTTCGTTAGTTGTTGTTTTCGTTTTTTTTTTTAAATAGCGAATAGCGAATTCAATTTAACTTAATTACTGCTTTTCTCTTTGTTGTTGTTGTGAAATTACTGTTATTGTTGTTGTTTCTTCATAGTTTGATCTATGGACCATATTTGTTACCAGTTCGCCATACCCGGTTTATTGAGAGTCATGAAGTAGATTTGACACGATGAAGCACCTTTGGCACTGCTGAAGAATACCTTGTCATTGCGTTCGCATAAAAATTTCAAACGTTGTGCTTTTTTATGCATGAATACACCATCCAAATGGCCTGTCTCAACAGAACGGATCTGTAAAATAAGCGAGAGATTAACAATAATTAAAATGAGTTTCATAATAAAATATCAAAGTATATTTACCTCTATTGCTTTATTGCCCCAGCCCATAATTTGTCCAGTTCCTATATAGGCTACTGATGTTGGCATTTCACCCCACTAAAATAGTAGAAAAACAATAACATTTTACATTAATTATTTTAAAATTTAGATTATTAAGATAAAAAACCTCACCTGTAGCACTATATTTTTCGATACACGTCCCACTGTATTGACATAAACACCTTCGTTGTCATAGCATAATAATAACTGCATACCATTTGAATTTGGAAGAGCCACAATACAATGAGGAATGATTGCACCCTGAGTCTGTATATTTTTTAAGAAAAAAAAAAGAACAATATTCATTACAAAATAATTAAAGAGAAAGCTAAAGCTTTTTACAAATACTTACATGCTTAGGAAGATAAATATCGTATACTTCAGCTGAATCTAAATCGACGGCATGGAAACCTTCAGCAGAGCCATAAATGACCTTCAGTCTAGATTGATCTTCAATGGTTAGATCAACTAACAGAGGACGATGTTCTAATTCACCGAAATTCTAAAGAGAGAGAAAAAGAAGAGACACTTTTGAAGACTTTCTTTAAAAGAAGAGAAATTTTTAAAAATTTCGTGAAAAATGTGAAAGTATTGAAGATTTTCTTTTAAAAATGAGAAATTTTACGAACATTTTCTATAAAATGAGTAAATTTCCGAAAAATGTCCATAAAAAAGAGAAATTTTACGAAAATTTTCTATGAAAAGAAAAATTTTCCTAAAAAGAGAAATTTTTCGAAAAGTTTCTATAAAAAGAGAATTTTTACGAAAATTTTCTATGAAAAGAGAAATTTTCCGAAAATTTTCTATAAAAAAAGAGAAATTTTCCGAAAAGTTTGTATAAAAAGAGAAATTTTCCGAAAAGTTTCTATAAAAAGAGAAACTTTCCGAAAAGTTTCTATAAAAAAAAAGAAGTTTTCCGAAAATTTTCTATAAAAAGGGAAATTTTCCGAAAATTTTCTATAAAAAGAGAAATTATCCGAATATTATCTATAAAAAGAGAAATTATCCGAATATTGTCTATAGAAAAGAGAAATTTTCCGAAAAAATTCTATGGAAAAGAAAAAATTTCCGGGAAATTCTATAGAAAATTTCCGAAAAAAATCTATAGAAAAGAGAAATTTTCCGAAAAAAGTTTATGGAAGAGAGAAATTTTCCGAAAAAAGTCTATGGAAAAGAGAAATTTTCCGAAAAAAGTCTATGGAAAAGAGAAATTTTCCGAAAAAAATTCTATGGAAAAGAGAAATTTTGCGAAAATTTTCTATAGAAAAGAGAAATTTTGCGAAAATTTTCTAAAGAAAAGAGAAATTTTGCGAAAATTTTCTAAAGAAAAGAGAAATTTTGCGAAAATTTTCTAAAGAAAAGAGAAATTTTGCGAAAATTTTCTAAAGAAAATAGAAATTTTGCGAAAATTTTCTAAAGAAAAGAGAAATTTTGCGAAAATTTTCTAAAGAAAAGAGAAATTTTGCGAAAATTTTCTAAAGAAAAGAGAAATTTTGCGAAAATTTTCTAAAGAAAAGAGAAATTTTGCGAAAATTTTCTAAAGAAAAGAGAAATTTTCCGAAAATTTTCTAAAGAAAAGAGAAATTTTCCGAAAATTTTCTATAGAAAAGAGAAATTTTCCGAAAATTTTCTATAGAAAAGAGAAATTTTCCGAAAATTTTCTATAGAAAAGAGAAATTTTCCGAAAATTTTCTATAGAAAAGAGAAATTTTCCGAAAATTTTCTATAGAAAAGAGAAATTTTCCGAAAATTTTCTATAGAAAAGAGAAATTTTCCGAAAATTTTCTATAGAAAAGAGAAATTTTCCGAATATTGTCTATAAAAAGAGAAATTTTCCTATAAATTTCTATAGAAAAGAGAAATTTTCCTAAAAATTTCTATAGAAAAGAGAAATTTCCGAAACATTTCTATAGAAAAGAGAAATTTCCGAAAAATGTCTATAGAAAAGAGAAATTTTCCGAAAAATTTCTATAGAAAAGAGAAATTTTCCGAAAAATTTCTATAGAAAAGAGAAAATTTCCGAAAAATTTCTATAGAAAAGAGAAATTTTCCGAAAATTTTCTATAGAAAAGAGAAATTTTCCGAAAATTTTCTATAGAAAAGAGAAATTTTCCGAAAATTTTCTAAAGAAAAGAGAAATTTTCTATAGAAAAGAGAAATTTTCCAAATTTATTAATGAATTTCTTTAGTCTTACCTTAAATGCCATGAATTTATGATATGGTTTGGGAGCCCAGGCATAAATTTCTATAGAGTCTTTTAATGCAATCACTAGGAACTTAATCCTTTCATATTTAACAATTTTAAAATGTACAGCACCTTGTAAATCACCAACATTTATCCAACCATTGCGACGTTCAACTTGCTAGAATTGTTGAAAAAAAAAAAAAACAATTATTAGAATCATAAAATCGACAAATTTTTTAAACAATGTTTCGACTTTCATTTGGAATTAAGTTATAGAATTAAAACTTACATCTGATAGACCATCAGTTCTTAAAATTTTCGATTTCAGCCAGGATAAATAGTAAACGCGTACACGATTCTTTTTACCCGATATGGTAACTAAAATATTTTGTCCTTCTAAAACTTCCATTTGTTGGAAGCGACGACGTGATATTAATTGATAGACCTAGAAAAGAGAAATAATTAACATTCAAAATACATTCCATAACATATCACAAGCTTACCTTTCCCTGACCCGAACGATCCAACAGCATTAAACCATTCTCGGTGCCAATCAATAGATTAACACCCCAGAGTGCAGCACACAATATTTCGGAATTGAAACGTTTCTTATATTTGCGTATTTCGGGCGTATCACTGGATGCTTCATGCGATGTGGGTGTAACATTAACATTGACATGTGATTCACGTCTCGAGGGACCAGAACCGCCAGCACCAAAACCAAAGGTAAGAAAACTACGTTGTTTCTGTTGTAGGGCATAGGGTGGAACGGGTAGAGCAGCCGATGAAGTATTGGAAGAGGAAGAAGCAGATTTATGTAAAAGATTAGTAATACTACTAGACGAACGTGTCTTTGAGATTGAATTCTTTGGGCTATTTTGTCTTGACGACGAAGAATTCAACGAAATTGTCGATTGGGGTGAATTGTTAGAGACACCGCCAATAAACGATTTCGATGGTGTGGAATGCACTGATGAGTTGATGGCCGCTTGATACTGTTTTTTTTTTTTTTTGGGAACGGTGGAAGAAAAAGAAAAGAAGAAAAGGTGGAAACATCGAAATTAGTTTGGGTTAAAAAAATTTATATAATTTACAATGGAATATTATTAACTATATATTACAAAGAGAATTATCGCCGTTGATCGTTTCATATTAAATCAAAATCTTTAATTTCAATAATTTGGAATAGGTGTTGAAAATTGTACAATATTAAGAGATACAGGAGAAAGTACTTTTTTGATACTTTTTTATACAAAATTTTCTATAAAGAGAAAACTTCCTCTAAAAAGAGAAATTTTCCGAAAATTTCCTCTAAAAAGAGAAATTTTTCAGAAAATTTCCTATAAAAAGTGAAATTTTTCCCAAAATTTTCTATAAAAAGAGAAATTTTTCCGAAATTTTTCTATAAAAAGAGAAAATTTTCCGAAATTTTTCTATAAAAAGAGACAATTTTCCGAAATTTTTCTATAAAAAGAGAAAATTTTCCAAAAATTTTCTTTAAAAAGAGAAATTTTCCGAAAATTTTCTTTAAAAAGAGAAATTTTTGTCGAAAATTTTCTATAAAAAGAGAAATTTTTCCGAAAATTTTCTATAAAAAGAGAAATTTTTCCGAAAATTTTCTAGAAAAAGAGAAATTTTTCGAAAATTTTCTATAAAAAATGAAATTTTTCCGAAAATTTTCTATAAAAAGAGAAATTTTTCCGAAAATTTTCTATAAAAAGTGAAAATTTTCCGAAAATTTCCTGTAAAAAGTGAAATTTTTCCGAAAATTTCCTATAAAAAGTGAAATTTTTCCGAAAATTTCCTATAAAAAGTGAAATTTTTCCGAAAATTTTCTATAAAAAGTGAAATTTTTCCGAAAATTTCCTATAAAAGTGAAATTTTTCCGAAAATTTTCTATAAAAAGTGAAATTTTTCCGAAAATTTTCTATAAAAAGAGAAATTTTTCCGAAAATTTTCTATAAAAAGAGAAATTTTTCCGAAAATTTTCTATAAAAAGAGAAATTTTTCCGAAAATTTTCTATAGAAAGTGAAAATTTTCTATAAAAAGTGATTTTTTTGAAAATTTCCTATAAAAAGGGAAATTTTTAGAAAATTCCCTGTAAAAAGAGATATTTTTAGAAAATTCCCTATAAAAAGTAAACATTTTCGGAAAATTTCCTATAAAAAAGAATTTTTATTGAAAATTTCATATAAAAAGAGACATTTTTCGAAAATTTTCTATAAAAAGTGAAATTTTTCGAAGATTTCCTCTAAAAAGAGAATTTTTCCAAAAATTTTCTATAAAAAGAGATATTTTACGAAAAAGTTTTAGAGAAAGTACCAAAAGTTCAAAACTTTAAAAGCTTCCATTCGTATGATGTTCTAGCTCCCATTTATAATACAGAGATTTTGAATTAATTATTAAACGGTACGGGATAAATTGTCTAATTAATTATTTTATATTATTTTCTTTATACATAAACCTTTTAAATATTAATTTTATATAATAACATGTTTATTTTTAATTGTTTAATAAATAGTGGAAATAACTTTACTCGAGTCAATTACATAGTTTTTATATATATACAAAAATTAGCATGCCCAATTTCCAATTCTCTAAAAAAATACTACATTATAACTCGCTATAGATAAATATTTCCTTTACTTAAAAAAAGGGAGTAAAAGGAAAAATTGTTAGTTTTATTATTAATGTAAAAATTTTATTTTTTTAAATACTAAATTTAACAACAAAAAAATATGGAAATAATAAAAAATAAAATGTGATTAGTCTTTCCCAGACGCCATGAAACATAAAAAAGAGAAGCTGTAACATTTTTTAACTGAAAATATATGCACTTTATTAAAAAAATTGTGTGCACGCAAAAAAGTTATTTTTTTGCTTCAATTTGCAAAAGAGAGATTAATATATTTGTGTTTAATTTATATACAATTTGTTTAAGTAAAATATTTATTAAATTTGTTGTATTGTTAGAATTTTTATTAATATTTTTATAGTTCTTGTTTTAATGTTTAAATGATTGTGTTTTTTTTTTTTGGTATACATATGTTAGAGTTAATTAATTGAACTGTGTAAAATTTGCAAATGTGTGCTAAAATGTTCAATGTTATATGTATATGCCAAAAGCTATAATTACAATTTCATTACTTTATGCATTCTACTACTAATCTATACTTTTAAATCTTTTAGAAAATTTTTTACTATTTATTTAAATAAATCTCTATATATGTAAATGATCTATAGTAGGAAATATATACTCAACATACAGTCAAGAATTTATTTAGGACTGACTAGAACTGAACTAAAACTGAACTGAAACTGAACTAAACTGAACTAGAATGAACTAGAACTAGAACTGAGAACTAGAACTGAACTAGAACTGAACTAGAACTGAACTAGAACTGAACTAGAACTGAACTAGAACTGAACTAGAACTGAACTAGAACTGAACTAGAACTGAACTAGAACTGAACTAGAACTGAACTAGAACTGAACTAGAACTGAACTAGAACTGAACTAGAACTGAACTAGAACTGAACTAGAACTGAACTAGAACTGAACTAGAACTGAACTAGAACTGAACTAGAACTGAACTAGAACTGAACTAGAACTGAACTAGAACTGAACTAGAACTGAACTAGAACTGAACTAGAACTGAACTAGAACTGAACTAGAACTGAACTAGAACTGAACTAGAACTGAACTAGAACTGAACTAGAACTAGAACTGAACTAGAACTGAACTAGAACTGAACTAGAACTGAACTAGAACTGAACTAGAACTGAACTAGAACTGAACTAGAACTGAACTAGAATTGAACTAGAACTGAACTAGAATTGAACTAGAACTGAACTAGAACTGAACTAGAACTGAACTAGAACTGAACTAGAACTGAATAGAACTGAACTAGAACTGAACTAGAACTGAACTAGAACTGAACTAGAACTGAACTAGAACTGAACTAGAACTGAACTAGAACTGAACTAGAACTGAACTAGAACTGAACTGAACTAGAACTGAACTAGAACTGAACTGAACTAGAACTGAACTAGAACTGAACTAGAACTGACTAGAACTGAACTAGAACTGAACTAGAACTGAACTAGAACTGAACTAGAACTGAACTAAACTGAACTAGAACTGAACTAGAACTGAACTAGAACTGAACTAGAACTGAACTAGAACTGAACTAGAACTGAACTAGAACTGAACTAGAACTGAACTAGAACTGAACTACTGAACTAGAACTGAACTAGAACTGAACTAGAACTGAACTAGAACTGAACTAGAAACCTGAACTAGAACTGAACTAGAACTGAACTAGAACTGAACTAGAACTGAACTAGAACTGAACTAGAACTGAACTAGAACTGAACTAGAACTGAACTAGAACTGAACTAGAACTGAACTAGAACTGAACTAGAACTGAACTGAACTAGAACTGAACTAGAACTGAACTAGAACTGAACTAGAACTGAACTAGAACTAAACTAGAACTGAACTAGAACTGAACTAGAACTGAACTAGAACTGAACTAGAACTGAACTAGAACTGAAATAGAACTGAACTAGAACTGAACTAGAACTGAACTAGAACTGAACTAGAACTGAACTAGAACTGAACTAGAACTGAACTAGAACTAGAACTGAACTAGAACTGAACTAGAACTGAACTAGAACTGAACTAGAACTGAACTAGAACTGAACTAGAACTGAACTAGAACTGAACTGAACTAGAACAACTGAACTAGAACTGAACTAGAACTGAACTAGAACTGAACTAGAACTGAACTAGAACTGAACTAGAACTGAACTAGAACTGAACTAGAACTGAACTAGAACTGAACTAGAACTGAACTAGAACTAAACTAGAACTAAACTAGAACTGAACTAGAACTGAACTAGAACTGAACTAGAACTGAACTAGAACTGAACTAGAACTGAACTAGAACAGAACTAGAACTGAACTAGAACTGAACTAGAACTGAACTAGAAATGAACTAGAACTGAACTAGAACTGAACTAGAACTGAACTAGAACTGAACTAGAACTGAACTAGAACTGAACTAGAACTGAACTAGAACTGAACTAGAACTGAACTAGAATGAACTAGAACTGAACTAGAACTGAACTAGAACTGAACTAGAACTGAACTAGAACTGAACTAGAACTGAACTAGAACTAAACTAGAACTGAACTAGAACTGAACTAGAACTGAACTAGAACTGAACTAGAACTGAACTAGAACTGAACTAGAACTGAACTAGAACTGAACTAGAACTGAACTAGAACTTAAGTAGAATTGAACTAAAACTGAACTACATGTGAAAAGAAATTGAATCAGATCTAAACAAGAACTGAAGTAATAAATCTAAATTATTTTAATTTGACTAAACTTAAAGTACTTGAATTATAAAACAACATTTTTAACACAAATCTAAATAGATCTAATATAATGAAACGACACATAACCTGCACAAAACACTTAATAAAAGTACTTTGATTTTCAATAGGAATTGTCACATAACTGCTGACCTTTCACCTTCTCCCACATAAAAGAACTATTGACAACATTTGACTTATTTCAAACATTTGAGCAAATGTCAGAAAGTTGCACAAATTTATAAAATATTATAGCATTTTTAGTAGAGAGAGAGAGCAAGCATGAAAAATATCCCCAGGGACATAGAATATCCCACTGGTATAAATTAGATTTTTAAGACAATGTTTATCTTTCTTGATAAATGTCAAACAAACAACTAGTGCTTGGGAAACAAATTTAAAAATCTATAAAGATAATAATGATTTTACTATACATAAAATATTTATACATTAAAAATTATATTTAAATTTACACACAAATACGTTAAAACAAATAAAATACAAATTTAAAACAACAAGAAAAAATAATAGAAATGAAATTCAAGGAGTTTTACAAAAAAACATAGAAGGAGTTTGTATTTAAACACACAAATAAAACAAAACTAAAAAAACAATAAATAATTTAAATATTTTAGCAATAATGAATATTTTACATTTTATTAAAAAAAAAAAAAAAAAACAAAGAACTTTAATGTGATTTACACACAAACACACACAGTAAGAGACAGACAGCGAAAGTAATACAGACAGTGAGTGAGAGTGTGAAAGAGATACAAAATGAATTTACATAAAATGATTTTTATATTTATTTTATTTTATACATAAAACAGTTTTACATAGTAGGTACGAGTATTTATTTTATTTTTTTCTAGCAAATATTATAGTTTTGAGTTGATAAAACTAATTTTTATTTAATTTAAAATCAATGAGTTTAATATTATTTTACAACAAAAAAAAATAATTGATTTGGTTTCATTATTTGATTTTTTTTTTTTTGCATAATGATGAGAGTAGAGTTTTGAGAATGAATTGATTTGATTGATTTGATACTTACTATTATTGCATTTGGTAATTTTGCCTACAACATTTTCAATATTCATTTTAATCGTAGTGGCCATCAGCTCACAGAAAACAAAACGTCGCGGAAAGACAAAGCACAATGATATATAATATATGAAGAAAAATATTTATAATATTTGTTGGTTGGTTATCAAAATACAAAATAAATTAAAAACAATATATTTATACTTTTTTTTTCTAAATAAAATCTGAATTCAAGCGAAATTAATTATAATTTAATTTAATTAAAAAAAAACTAAATTTATAACTATGTAAAAGTAAATACTAATTCAACTACGATTGTAAAGGTAAGATAAACAAACATGTTTTAATTGAAAAAAATAAAATCTACACAAAAAAACCTAAAATTTATATTATTAATAAAACAATTTAAATGTTGTTATAAAACAACAAACTGAATAAAACACAGAAATAATAGTTAAACAAACAAAAACTCAGTAATTTAAGCGATTTTTAAGGTCACTTTGGCTTTTAATCATAATTTGTTATATTGTTTGGTCCAGTTAAAATGACTTGAGGAACTAGAACTGAACTAGTATTAAGCTAGAACTGAACTAGAACTAAACTAGAACTAAACTAGAACTAAACTAGAACTAAACTAGAACTAAACTAGAACTAAACTAGAACTAAACTAGAACTGAACTACAACTGAACCAGAACTGAACCAGAACTGAACTAGAACTGAACTAGAACTGAACTAGAACTGAACTAGAACTGAACTAGAACTGAACTAGAACTGAACTAGAACTGAACTAGAACTAGAACTGAACTATAACTGAACTAGAACTGAACTAGAACTGAACTAGAACTGAACTAGAACTAGAACTGAACTGAACTGAACTAGAACTGAACTAGAACTGAACTAGAACTGAACTAGATCTGAACTAGAACTGAACTAGAACTGAACTAGAACTGAACTAGAACTTAACTAGAACTGAACTAGAACTGAACTAGAACTGAACTAGAACTGAACTAGAACTGAACTAGAACTGAACTGAACTAGAACTGAACTAGAACTGAACTAGAACTGAACTAGAACTGAACTAGAACTGAACTAGAACTGAACTAGAACTGAACTAGAACTGAACTAGAACTGAACTAGAACTGAACTAGAACTGAACTAGAACTGAACTAGAACTGAACTAGAACTAGAACTGAACTAGAACTGAACTAGAATTGAACTAGACCTGAACTAGAACTGAACTAGAACTGAACTAGAACTGAACTAGAACTGAACTAGAACTGAACTAGAACTGAACTAGAACTGAACTAGAACTGAACTAGAACTGAACTAGAACTGAACTAGAACTGAACTAGAACTGAACTAGAACTGAACTAGAACTGAACTAGAACTGAACTAGAACTGAACTAGAACTGAACTAGAACTGAACTAGAACTGAACTAGAACTGAACTTAAACTGAACTAAAACTGAACTAGAACTGAACTAGAACTGAACTAGAACTGAACTAGAACTGAACTAGAACTGATCTAGAACTGAACTAGAACTGAACTAGAACTGAACTAGAACTCAACTAGAACTGAACTAGAACTGAACTAGAACTGAACCTAAACTGAACCTAAACTGAACTAGAACTGAACTAGAACTGAACTTAAACTGAACTAAAACTGAACTAGAACTGAACTAGAACTGAACTAGAACTGAACTAGAACTGAACTAGAACTGAACTAGAACTGAACTAGAACTGAACTAGAACTGAACTAGAACTGAACTAGGACTAAACTAGAACTGAATTAGAACTGAACTAGAACTGAACTAGAACTGATCTAGAACTGAACTAGAACTGAACTAGAACTGAACTAGAACTGAACTAGAACTGAACTAGAACTGAACTAGAACTGAACTAGAACTGAACTAGAACTGAACTAGAACTGAACTAGAACTGAACTAGAACTGAACTAGAACTGAACTAGAACTGAACTAGAACTGAACTAGAACTGAACTAGAACTGAACTAGAAATGAACTAGAACTGAACTAGAACTGAACTAGAACTGAACTAGAACTGAACTAGAACTGAACTAGAACTGAACTAGAACTGAACTAGAACTGAACTAGAACTGAACTAGAACTGAACTAGAACTGAACTAGAACTAACTAGAACTGAACTAGAACTGAACTAGAACTGAACTAGAACTGAACTAGAACTGAACTAGAACTGAACTAGAACTGAACTAGAACTGAACTAGAACTGAACTAGAACTGAACTAGAACTGAACTAGAACTGAACTAGAACTGAACTAGAACTGAACTAGAACTGAACTAGAACTGAACTAGAACTGAACTAGAACTGAACTAGAACTGAACTAGAACTGAACTAGAACTAGAACTGAACTAGAACTGAACTAGAACTGAACTAGAACTGAACTAGAACTGAACTAGAACTGAACTAGAACTGAACTAGAACTGAACTAGAACTGAACTAGAACTGAACTAGAACTGAACTAGAACTGAACTAGAACTGAACTGAACTAGAACTGAACTAGAACTGAACTAGAACTGAACTAGAACTGAACTAAAACTGAACTAGAAATGAACTAGAAATGAACTAGAACTGAACTAGAACTGAACTAGAACTGAACTAGAACTGAATTAGAACTGAACTAGAACTGAACTGAACTAGAACTGAACTAGAACTGAACTAGAACTGAAAAAGAACTAAAATTGCACTTAAACTGAACTAGAACTAAACTAAAATTGTAATGGGATCTGAACTATAATAGAACTGAACTACAAAAGATAGACATTAGAACTATCACTGTGCTAGAATTGTATTTGAACAGATTAGAAGACTTCTAGATCTGAATTAAAACTGTATTTCAAAAAAACTAGAACTGAATTAGATCCGAACTAGAACTGTATTCTGTAACTGTGCCCTAAAAATCCACTTAAATTACATGAGCCTTAAGATAATTAAAAAAAAATATTTTCTTAAAAAGTTGTCTTGTCTTTTCTAAAGAAAATATTCGCCATAAAACTAACGAATGAAAAATTCACACCACAACACCATTAAGTGTACTACAAAATATTAGTCACAATTTTGTTTTTTTTTTATTTAGTAGTGTGTACTTCTTTTTCCAAATTAGAGTATTTTAATTATTTTCTTGTCCATTAAACTGAGGCCATTTAATTTGGTTTTGTGTTGGAGGAGCAGTTTTTTGATGTACTTTTTCTTAAATAAATATGGTGAGTTTGCTTTTGTATATTTTGTATTTTTTTTTAGTACGAACAAATAAAACAATAATAACATATAATAAAAGCAAAAAATAAATGTTTATGATAAATTATGATGATTAAGACAATGAAAACAAATAAAAACTAAAAATTACTACTTAAACAAGAGACAAATCAGCACGAGGTACGAGCGTTTTGTTAAAAGACACACACAGCATTTAAAAAATTTTGAAATCAACAAAATTAAAGAGCAGAATTTTAAATTTGATTTATTTTTCTATAAATATTTAATTAAAAGCATAAAAAATAATAAATTTAATAAATCATCTTGAGTTTGATAAGTGAAGACAACCTCTTATGTTGGACAAATATTTATACAATTTGGGAAATTATTTGTTCTACACCATTTCCAACAGAAATAAAAACTGAACTAGATCTTAGAAACGAACTGGAACTGGTTTAGAACAGAACTGATCTACAACTTGAATATTAATAATTTTAACTTGGAAATGGTGTAGTTGAAAATCTAAAAATCTTTAAAACTGTTTTTATTTTAAGCCAAATAGAAAATATTTAATAATTTTCTCCATAACTGTGTGTTGTTGTCTTTATTATTTAAGAAAAACAAACAAATATTTAAAAAAATATATTTAAAAAAGAAAAATATTTAGCGTCAGAAAATTTATTTATGTATTATTAATGGCCATAACAAATTTAGTAAATTTGTTGACAAAAGACAACGTTTTTGTTTAATAAAAATAAAACAAAAATTAATAAACAATAAACTAAACGACAAAAAATTAACAAAACAAAGCGCTTAACTAAAATTATATTCTTTAAAAAAAAATCTCAAACTAAATTATTAAATAATTATTTGTAATTTAAAACAAAATTAATAAATAAGTAATTTGGAAAAGTCGCAAAGAAATGAAAATAACATACAAAATAAACTCGTATCACTTACCTCCTCACTGGATGATTTATCATGACGTGGTGGTGTTGCTGGTGAGGCTTGACTAAGCAAATCGGGCAAAACACTGCTGGTACGGGTACCGGGTGTACCAAGATTTTCGGTATTACGATTCTATTGGTAAGAAAAAAGAATAGAAGAAAATAAAATATTAGGATTTTAATATTATCAATTTGTTAGCACATAATATATGAAATGGGCAGGAGATAAGGTTTTGTTTTAATACAATTTTTTATTTTATTAATGGTGAATGGAAAAACACCTGATGCTTAAGTTATGGTGGATGTTTTATGTGAGATTCAAGCTGAAAATGCTATGGAACGATTTTAGCATAAAGAATGATTCAAATATCAATAAAGAACCGTTTAACTTGAGGACAACTTGATAACATTACTGAAACGTTAATAGCGATTTTATCGGAAATATGCCAATAAACAAATACTGATCTAGAACAGATCTAGAACAGATCTAGAACAGAACTAGAACAGAACTAGAACAGAACTAGAACAGAACTAGAACAGAACTAGAACAGAACTAGAACAGAACTAGAACAGAACTAGAACAGAACTAGAACTGAACTAGAACTGAACTAGAACTGAACTAGAACTGAACTAGAACTGAACTAGAACTGAACTAGAACTGAACTAGAACTGAACTAGAACTGAACTAGAACTGAACTAGAACTGAACTAGAACTGAACTAGAACAGAACTAGAACAAGACTAGAACAGAACTAGAACAGAACTAGAACAGAACTGGAACAGAGCTAGAACAGTACGAGAACAGAACTAGAACAGAACTATAACAGAACTAGAACTGAACTAGAACTGAACTAGAACAGAACTAGAACAGAACTAGAACAGAACTAGAACAGTACTAGCACAGAACTAGAACAGAACCAGAACAGAACTAGAACAGAACTAGAACTGAACTAGAACTGAACTAGAACTGAACAAGAACTGAACTAGAACTGAACTAGAACTGAACTAGAACTGAACTAGAACTGAACTAGAACTGAACTAGAACTGAACTAGAACTGAACTAGAACTTAACTAGAACTGAACTAGAACTGAACTAGAACTGAACTAGAACTGAACTAGAACTGAACTAGAACTGAACTAGAACTGAACTAGAACTGAACTAGAACTGAACTAGAACTGAGCTAGAACTGAACTAGAACTGAACTAGAACTGAACTCGAACTGAACTAGAACCTGAACTAGAACTGAAGTAGAACTGAACTAGAACTGAACTAGAACTGAACTAGAACTGAACTAGAACTGAACTAGAACTGAACTAGAACTGAACTAGAACTGAACTAGAACTGAACTAGAACTGAACTAGAACTGAACTCGAACTGAACTAGAACTGAACTTGAACTGAACTAGAACTGAACTAGAACTGAACTAGAACTGAACTAGAACTGAACTACTAGAACTGAGCTAGAACTGAACTAGAACTGAACTAGAACTGAACTAGAACTGAACAAGAACTGACTAGAACCTGAACTAGAACTGAAGTAGAACTGAACTAGAACTGAACTAGAACTGAACTAGAACTGAACTAGAACTGAACTAGAACTAGAACTGAACTAGAACTGAACTAGAACTGAACTAGAACTGAACTAGAACTGAACTAGAACTGAACTAGAACTGAACTAGAACTGAACTAGAACTGAACTAGAACTGAACTAGAACTGAACTAGAACTGAACTAGAACTGAACTAGAACTGAACTAGAACTGAACTAGAACTGAACTAGAACTGAACTAGAACTGAACTAGAACTGAACTAGAACTGAACTAGAACTGAACTAGAACTGAACTAGAACTGAACTAGAACTGAACTAGAACTGAACTAGAACTGAACTAGAACTGAACTAGAACTGAACTAGAACTGAACTAGAACTGAACTAGAACTGAACTAGAACTGAACTAGAACTGAACTAGAACTGAACTAGAACTGAACTAGAACTGAACTAGAACTGAACTAGAACTGAACTAGAACTGAACTAGAACTGAACTAGAACTGAACTAGAACTGAACTAGAACTGAACTAGAACTGAACTAGAACTGAACTAGAACTGAACTAGAACTGAACTAGAACTGAACTAGAACTGACTAGAACTGAACTAGAACTGACTAGAACTGAACTAGAACTGAACTAGAACTGAACTAGAACTGAACTAGAACTGAACTAGAACTGACTAAACTGAACTAGAACTGAACTAGAACTGAACTAGAACTGAACTAGAAACTGAACCAGAACTGAACTAGAACTGAACTAGAACTGAACTAGAACTGAACTAGAACTGAACTAGAACTGAACTAGAACTGAACTAGAACTGAACAGAACTGAACTAGAACTGAACTAGAACTGAACTAGAACTGAACTAGAACTGAACTAGAACTGAACTAGAACTGAACTAGAACTGAACTAGAACTGAACTAGAACTGAACTACTAGAACTGAACTAGAACCGAACTAGAACTGAACTAGAACTGAACTAGAACTGAACTAGAACTGAACTAGAACTGGACTAGAACTGGACTAGAACTGAACTAGAACTGAACTAAAACTGAACTAAAACTGAACTAAAACTGAACTAGAACCGAACTAGAACCGAACTAGAACTGAACTAGAACCGAACTAGAACTGAACTAGAACTGAACTAGAACTGAACTAGAACTGAAATAGAACTGAACTAGAACTGAACTAGAACTGAACTTGAACTGAACTTGAACTGAACTTGAACTGAACTTGAACTGAACTAGAACTGAACTAGAACTAGAACTGAACTAGAACTAGAACTGAACTAACCTAGAACTGAGCTAGTACTTAACTCGAAGTGAACTTTGTTTAATATTTTCAGCTTGAATTTCCACATTAGCAACATCACAATTTAAAAATTGCTTTATTATAACAATGAATGCCAATGAGCTAAACATTTCTCTGTCTTAGTGATTTTAAAATGAACAATAAACCCTTTAATTCAACAAAAATTTATATAAATGAAACACAAACTTATAATCTAAGAAAATCAAATAAAGAAAAACTAATTTTCCTTTCTGAAAAATGAACACATACAAAAACACTGAAAAAGAAATACTTTAAATACTATTAAAAATAAACAACAAAATACCCCAAAAAATGGACAAAATACACGAGGAAAACTTTTACAAATTGAAAATGTTTCATTTTATTTTTATTTGCCTTAAATATACAAAATTTGTTTTAAAGCTGATAATTTTACATAAAAGAATAAGTTAAATGTTATTCGCCAATAAATGTTTATTATTAAATAAAATAGTTTGATTTTTTGAAACAGCAGGTAAACAATTGCATCATCATCGTCATGATCATTGTAACTACACAACAACTTTCATAGTTTACAAAACAAAAACACAATAAAAAATAATTAAATTTTAATTACAAACAAAATTATTTTAATTAAACCACAATATTTTATTTCTATAAAGAGTGTTTATAATTTATTTACAATTAGAATTTAAATGTATGCAGTTGTTGGCCAAAAATAGTAAAAAACAAAGCTTTAAAACAATTTTGTACATTTATAGAAAGCTAAGTAAGATGATTTTGTTTAGATATAGTTTAAGCATAAAGCTGTTGTATAGGAGAAGCTTACACTTATGTATGAATGTATATTAGTTATAGTTTTGTTATGATTTTGAAAAAAAAGCTTTATATTGGACCTGTAAAACCTTATGAGAAATGAAATTGGAAACAATTAGAAGACATACGATGCTTTCAGTATGTTTTTACTTAATGCTAATTTAAGTTATAATGGTTCTAATGCTATTACTTGTAGATGATATACATACATACATATGTATACCTCTAGAACTACTATTATTTCACAATTTTCTGATTGGTAAAATTTGGTAAAAAATACCCGGGTACTTGCAAAAAAAAAAAAAGTTGGCTTAAATACATGTTTTAAATGGTTGAAATATGAGTAAAATCCCCAAAAACACATAACTATTTCCATAATCTGACTCCAGAGATATCCAAAAGGAAGGCTAGTTTAAAATATTTTAAAATGTATAGAAATTGCTACTGATAAGTGTCCCACAGGAGATCAACTTTAGAGAAAGTACCTGTAGGGCCTATAAAGGATGTGCTGAAGTTTTCATTCCTCCTTTTAATCTATACTATTCGAACTAGAACTGAACTAGAACAGAACTAGAACAGAACTAGAACAGAACTAGAACAGAACTAGAACAGAACTAGAACAGAACTAGAACAGAACTAGAACAGAACTAGAACAGAACTAGAACAGAACTAGAACAGAACTAGAACAGAACTAGAACAGAACTAGAACAGAACTAGAACAGAACTAGAACAGAACTAGAACAGAACTAGAACAGAACTAGAACAGAACTAGAACAGAACTAGAACAGAACTAGAACTGAACTAGAACTGAACTAGAACTAGAACTGAACTAGACTGAATTAGAACTGAACTACAACTGAACTAGAACTAGAACTAGAACTGAACTAGAACTGAATTAGAACTGAACTAGAACTGAACTAGAACTGAACTAGAACTGAACTAGAACTGAACTAGAACTGAACTAGAACTGAACTAGAACTGAACTAGAACTGAACTAGAACTGAACTAGAACTGAACTAGAACTAGAACTGAACTAGAACTGAACTAGAACTGAATAGAACTGAATTAGAACTGGACTAGAACTGGACTAGAACTGGACTAGAACTGAACTAGAACTGATCTAGAACTGAACTAGAACTGAACTAGAACTGAACTAGAACTGAACTAGAACTGAACTAGAACTGAACTAGAACTGAACTAGAACTGAACTAGAACTGAACTAGAACTGAACTAGAACTGAACTAGAACTGAACTAGAACTAGAACTGAACTGAACTAGAACTGAACTAGAACTGACTAGAACTGAACTAGAACTGAACTAGAACTGAACTAGAACTGAACTAGAACTGAACTAGAACTGAACTAGAACTGAACCTAGAACTGAACTAGAACTGAACTAGACTGAACTAGAACTGAACTAGAACTGAACTAGAACTGAACTAGAACTGAACTAGACTGAATAGAACTAACTAGAACTGAACTAGAAC